GAGAAAACAATCCAAAAATTCATTTGGAACCAGAAGAGACCTAGAATGGCAAAAGCAATTCTAAAACAGAGACATGGCAGGGGGTATTACAATCCCCAACTTGAAACTATACTACAAAGCTACTGTGATAAAAACAGCATGGTACTGGCAAAAATATAATGGGAAAAGTTACTACTCAAAATAGCTTTAAAAAACTATAAAGTAGGACGAGGGATGTAACTCAGCAGTGCTGTACCTGCCTGGCAAGCCCAAGGTCCTGAGTTCAATTCCCAGTACAGAAAAAAAAAATAAAAAAGGAAAAAAAAACTATAAAGTATCTAAGAATTAGGAAGGCACTGGAATTCTATGGAAAAAAAGCGCAACTTTTCATTTAATTAAGGGAACAAAGGAAATCCAAATACATGCAGAGACAGTCTATGCTGTCCCTTCACTGCAAATTAATCTATAAATTCAATGTAATCACAATCATAATCCCAGTATTATTTTTCCTAAAAATGCAAGAAATATGCTCCAAAATATATATGGAAGAATAAAAGTATTAAAAAGTTAAGTCATCCTTTAAAAAGGATGAAGGAGAAAGTCCTTGTCCTACCAGATATTAAGAGAAACTGCATGGCCAGAGTAATAAAAAACAGTGTGGTATTAGCTCAAGAACAAAAAGAACAATGGAGAAGAGAGAGCTAAGACACAGAAATTCAATACATAATAAAGATGGCACTGAAAATCAAAGTGCTAAGGATGTTTAATAAATGGTGCTAGCTCACTTTATGAGGAAAAACACTCCTACATTCACTACTTAACATCATATGTTAAGGTGCACTCTAGGTGGAATGAAAACTTAGATGTGAAAGATAAAAGCAAAAAGTTAACAATTAAGGAACCCAAGGAAAAATTATTAGGCAGATGGCACATTGCAAGTAGATACTTGAAGTGTAAAGACTCAACAAGACATGGGCGGGGGATGTAGCTCAGTGGTGCTATGCCTGCCTGGCAAGTGCAAGGTCCTGAGTTCAAGCCCAGGTACCAAAAAAAAAAAAAAAAACCTACAAAAAAAAATCAACAGGACACTTATGTTTAAAATATATAAATCATTAAGAAAAAGAAACTAAAGAAGAAAAAAACCTGAAAAACTACCATTAAAAAATGAGCAGAAGGGGCTGGGGATTTAGCTCAGTGGTTCTGGCGCCTGCCTCACAAGCAC